AGTCAAAGTTGACTTCAGCAGACTTGCCACGTCATGGCCATCCTTGACCACATCATGGCCCATAAATGACAAAACAAATGTTGAATCCCCAGTCGCCATGTTGTGGCAGCCTAGGGCCACGCAGTAGGCACAGGGTGTATAACAACTTAATGGGTTAAGTTATTTCCTTCGATTCCAAGAGCTTTAAATCTTAGGTCTAGTCCTTTCCATGGTCTAGATGGATAAAGTTTCCAAGTTTATCCCTTAAGACTCTCTAAGATATCAAGATCTCAAACCCTAGGTTCACTAAAGGCAAAACATGATATGGACTTAATCACTAAGCACTTAATCTCGAAAGTTCAAACTTCATCAACTCCAGAAGAGTTTCCAACTCCAAAAGTATCCTAAAAATTGGTGCTTTATAGACATGCATGTCCAATCCATGTCTAGAGCTCATATTAGCTGAGGATTATGACTAAAATCCCATGCATGGTTCAATAATCATCCATACTTCATATCCAAACCATCATTTACTCCAAATGACCCAAAGATTCATAAAGTTGCAACCTTTATGGGGCCTCACCATCCCAACTAACAAGAAAAAGAAGAAAATGGGACAAAACTCAAGACCTAGCAACCTAGCAACATAAAGGTGGAGTCTTGGACACTTACAAAGGTCCAGAAACATGCTAGGAAGAGAAATGGGAACTTGCTTTTTGATTCTTGGCTTACTCTTTCTTTTTTCTTCCTTCAAAATCTTCCAAAAACACCAAAGTAGGCTTCAACAATGGAGGAAAAGGAATTAGGATTTCTTCAGAGCTAAGGTCTAAGGAGGGTGGTGGAGGCTGAGGATGAGCAAACCCTTGCCTCCTAATTCCTTTAAATAGGGTGCAAAACCTAGAAAATTAGGGTTTAAGTCATCAGCGGGCCACGTCGTGGCCTATACCTGCCACGACGTGGAAGGTCAAAAGAAGTCTGCGACCAAAAATGTCTCGCCACGTCGTGGCGATCCTTCACCACGCCGTGGAAACTCCAAAAAGCCAAACTTTAATAAAATAAAGTGTACCTCAAGATTTGATGTTACAGGATGAGTTAAACAAAATATGAACACATTTTTTTGATTGGTTCAACTTGAAACCACGTGAAAAAATAACCTCATAAAACTTTTGATGTCATTTTTTGGGTGCTTGTTTCAACCTATACAATGATTTGAGAAGTTTACATACCTTATGCTCATTACCAGGCATAGAAAAACCTTCTGGCTGTTTTATTAAACTTGTTCATCAATCTATCCATTTAAGAAGGCTTTTTTGACATCCATTTGATGGATAACCAGATTATGGATAGCCGCCAATACAACTAATAATTTAATGGTAGATATACAAGCCACCGGTGTATACGTGTCAAAATAATCAATACCATATTTTTGTCTAAACCCTTGAATCACTAATTGGCATTTGAACTTATCAATAGTTCCATCTAATGTCATTTCTCTTTGAAGATCCATTTTCAACCTAAAGGTTTAGAACCGGGTAGCAAATCGTGTAATGCGCAAGTATTGTTCTCCAAAATAGATCATAATTCATCATCAATCGCCTCTTTCCAAAAGGAAACATATCGTGAATCCATGACATCTTAAAGGTCTTTGGATCTTCATAAATACTATAAAAATATGAGTATTGAAATCCAATATCGTCCCTTGATCCTTCCGCAAAATACATTTGGAAATTAGAACCAAAATTTTTAGCAATTCGACCCTTTTTACTTCTCCGGACGTATTGAGGTTTTAGATCTAATGCACCCTGTAAATTTTTTGAATTTTGACCTTCGTTATTGTTGGAAATTAGATCCTTAGGTCTCGGGATCAATGAAAATTACATTTCATTAAAAATCGCATCATGCGACCCAATTACGATATTTATCGACACCAAATCGTTAGGATCTATTAGGATCTATTACATATAACCTATATGCTTTGGAATTTTTAGCTTATCCAATGACAATACAATCAATTCCTCTCTCTTTCTCATATAGTAATCCTTTTCGGCACGGATAATTTTACAACCGCCCGACAACCCCAAATTTGAAGGATAACTCAAATTTGGAGCCTTTTTTAACCCAAGTTCATATGGGGATGTTTTGTTCCCTTTATTTGGAACTCTATTCAAGACATAGCATGCCGTTAGCATTTCCTCTCCCTAAAATCTTGTACTCAAACCTAATTAAGACAACATCGATTTGACCATTTCCTTTAAAACTTGATTTTTTCCATTCGACGGCACCATTTTGTTGTGGTGTATATGGAGCCATGGTATCATGAATGATACCGATTGATTGGAAATATTAGGGATCCATATATTCCCCTCCCCGTTCAGTTCTAAGACTTTTAACCAGATTGCCCAATTGTAATTCCACCTCGATTTTGTATATTTTGAACCTTTCCAAAGCTTCATCCTTGGAATACAACAAATATACACATCAAAACTAACTTGAATCATCAATGAAAGTAATCATATACTTTTTATTACCACGAGATGGAGCAGAATGAAAATCACAAAGTTCACTATGAATTAAATCCAAAATTCCATCATCACGATTAGCATTTGGAAGCATTTGTTTTGTAATTTTCTTTAACATGCAAGTTTTACATTTTCTAACACTAATGTTAAAATCCAGAACTAATCTATCTTTTCACATTTCATGCATTCTTCTAAAATGACATGACCCAAATGAGCATGCCAAAGCATAGAGCAGTGGCAGACCTTAGTGGGGCATTTGGGGTCCCGGGCCACTGCTCAATTTCCGGCACACAGTGTAATTTTTTTTTTTGGTTTTCTCTATTAGGTGTACCCGCTTGAAGTACGAGGGACACCCCTACTAAAACAGTCTGCGTCCGCCACTGGCATAGAGTCATCAATTTTAGGAGGTGAAGGAAAAGATGACATAAAAACCGAATTATTTACACAAGGAAATGAATCAATTATATTTAAACGAAACATTTGATTGCAAAAATATCCAAAAACCAATAAACGTGCCAAACCGAGATAAGATAAACCTATCTAATTCAAAAACTTGTTTTAAACCATCCGAATTTAAACAATCACTACTAACAAGGTTCTTACGAAGCTTAAGAACAAATAAAACATCAAATAATTGAATAGTTTTTCGAGAAGTAAACTTAGAATAACAACTCCAAAACCACAAATTGGTTTACTCGACTCATCATCACCCATCTTAATAGTGGATCCATCATCAGTTGGTGTCAGTTTCTCGAACCATTGATGGTATTTACATATGTCTTGTAGCGCCCGAATCAACCCACCATATAAAGTCATCATCTTATACATAAAATGATTCAAGAATTAATGAACAATAATTATGAATAGAACTATTAAGGTAAAAAAATTATGTCCTCCTTTAGGTGCAGCAGAATCCTTAGTCCTGCTGTTTCCACCACCACTGTTTTCACCACTATTATTTTCAGCACCATTATTTCTAGTACCATTCCTATTGAGATTCACCTGACAGTCATGCTTAGTGTGACCAGTCCTTTGACATCTCCAACAAACCATATCTGAAGGCTTCTTGTTTGGTTTGTTATTACCGTCATACTTGGGTTTTGGATTGCTTTTGTTTACTTCCATCATGTGGACAACGGACTGTCCAACATCAGGTTTCACCTTGATTTTTTCTCAGTCTTGAGCACGGAGTGATTCCTTAATTTGTATGTGACTCATGAGTTGTACCATTGACAATGCTTCCTTCTGATGTTTTAAGGTATGTTTAAAGTCCTTCCAAGATGGTGATAACTTGTCAATGACACTCAACACAACAATACATTCATACATCTTCATCTTGTATAGAGTGAATTGATCCAAAATGTGAAGGATATGTGACTCCTGAGTTGTACCATTGACAATGCTTCCTTTTGATGTTTTAAGTTATGTTTAAAGTCCTTCCAAGATGGTGATACTTTGTCAATCACAGTCGACACAACAATACATACATACATCTTCATCTTGTATAGAGTAAATTGATCCAAAATGTGAATGAATTCATTGTCTTGTTCCATAACAGGCCTTGAGTCTACCGTTTTATAGTTATTAAAATCGCTAACCAAGAACTTCTTACTAGAAGCATCCTCAGCGATGTCCTTAGACTCAAGTGTATTCCGTAATTCCTTCGTAATCTCCATGTTTTAGTAGATATCAAAGAGAGGATCATACATACCATTAAGAATGTGGCCTCTACAGATGTAGCCCTAATTCTCCCACTTCCAGCGACGCCTGGTCTGCTCCACAATTTCATATTCTTGTGCTTATGTTGTAGAAGTGCTTAGAACATGAACAATATTCACAGAATAGAAAGTGTATCTTCTTCTTGTGCTTGATTTTATCACATAAATAATGGATGACGGTTTCAAAGATAATTATGGAGAATATATTTCGAAAATAAGATTTTCCAGAACATTTTCTTAATAAATAAATTTTCGTGGCTCTGCCCTTAGGACTCTATTATTTGGTCGAATAGAGATTAAACTCGTTTTATTCAAGGGTGGACTTCGAACCTCTTAACTTGTCTAAAATCGAGAATTAAAATCCATTAGTAACCAATAAATTCTATTATACTAAAATAAACCCGATGACACTAAAATCAAACATATCTTATAACTAATTTTACCAAACAATATTTTTTATCAACTAACTTATAAATTAAAAGTTAATTTTCAAACTACCCAACTAAATTTTTAACAAGTTGATAATTTTTTCAAACAATTTACATGACAAAAGCTTTATCTCCATATTCATAAAAAAACGGGTTGGCCACGTTAAGCTAGTGAGCCTGGTCCCATATGACCTCCTCTTTAGGGGGAAAATCAAAACGCCAAACTGGCCTCCAATCCCCATTACCCTCGACTCTCGAGTCTCGATATATCAAATGTCTCGCCATTATAAATCCATGCCAACTCTTCTACTTTAATCCAGTCCAATGCCATCCAGTTCCCATTTCCCACCACCATTATGGAAGATCATCGCCGGCAGAAGCCCAATTCCACTGTCGATATATTTACTTTTCCGGCGATGCCACGGGACATGGAATCTGAGTCAGAGTTAGCCGATCAGTTGTTCTCCAATGGCAAACTCCTTCTTCACGCTTTCCCTGTGCAACCCACGAATTGTATCATTCCAAGATCCATGATTTTGAGTCGAACAAGCAGTATCAGCAGCAAGGGTTCGTTGATGTCTTCTCGGAGTAATAGCACAAACAGTCGGAGCAGTAGCAGTAACAGCAGTTGCAGCAGTGCACGAACAAGCACTAGCGAAGGTTCTTCTCGGAGGAAATTACAAACAATCGATCAATCCAGATCTGTTGCAATCAAAACGACAAACACCGGGACTAGATTTCCTAAAAAGGATTGTCAAACTCGATATTACTGTAATGGTTATGGCAATTCTCAGAGGTGGCAGTTTATGGCGCCGGTACCGGTGTTGAACCGCCGGAATTCTTTAAAGAAGAGGAAGGGGGGAAAGGGGAAGAGAGATGGTGGCGTTAGGAAGGGTTTTTGCCGGAGGTTTTTTGGGTGGCTTGTGTCGACATGCCAAGAGTGTCATGCGATTGAACCTTCTAAGAGATTGAAAGTGAGTATGTGATTACTATAATTTCTTATTTTTGTCATCTTTTTCGATGATTAATGGGTTTGATTCTATGATTTATGTGTTTTTTTTGTTTACGTTTGGGTTTTGAGCTTCTCATCGTTTGTTTATTGGGATGAACGTATTCAACATGCATCCATGTTTAATTATACCAGCTTGGAAAATCGCAATGTCCTTGAGAACTGTGAAACTGAAAGAAACCGTGAATCGAATTGACAGTTGAAACCAACGAAAAAAATGTTAACTTGAATCAAATCAATTAAAAATATAAACTTTTTAATTTTAAAACAAAAAAATGAATACCTAAAATTTTGGGGAGGTGTAAAAGTTAAGACACTTGGAGTTTTGAATTTGAAAAGCCAATGTTTTTCGGTGTTTGGGTTTCACCGACCAGAATATCCTCTTTGTTTTGTTAGTCCATTCAGTAATGGTTTCCGTATAGTGACAGTTGGGTTAATGTTGCTTGAAGTGTTGTAATTATGAGCAATTATGAGCTTCCCGTTTAAACCTAAACAATATTCTTCAAACTGAGAGTGGAAATCTGGCAACGCCAAGAATGGGAAAAGAAGCAAAGGGAAAGTGATGGATGAAGGTGGAGGTCCCAGTAGAAATTGTAGAAAACCGGATGGGAATTTAGTAGAGAATATGTCAGTTTCGTTTTGCATTACATATTTTCCTCCAAAAAGCTATATCCTAAGATTTGTGGAAGATGTGTGGAGATTCTTGAGGGTGCACTATGGGAATATGTTAGCAAGGAAATTAAGTGATATTTGGATGGAAAATCACCATGTTTTTGCAATCTGTTGTTAGGTTTGCTCGTCATGATGAAAGAAACAAGTGTTGATCAACACACACAACTTTTACACCAATATAACCAAGGAAGGAAGGGGGAAAAATATTAATCAAGATTGCCTTAAACCTTATGCAAACATATTTATAAGGATGGGAGGTGGTACAAACGGTAACCAAAATGATGTTAGATGATAAACGCGTTGAGTTAGAGAAATTAGAATTGTTGGTGGTTTCTTATTTGGCATGTATCTCTTCTGGATAGATGAATACCATTTATGCACTCTATGCAAGAATGAAGGTTTCTATAATATGGAGATCAATTATGTGGGAGGTTTGTGGGTTTGATTATAATTCAAACACGGACTTCTTGCATCAAGTTTAAGCAACATGAGGTGTTCAAAACAATATTCAAAGAGTTTCAATCCTTAACAAGACATGTATCATTAATGATCGTATGGTGTGATAGGGAATCGAAGTCTTACCTTTATGTGCATTGACACCGAAGGCGTTTAAGAAGGTGGTGGGTACATGGGGAAAAGTAATGTTCTCGTATGACAATCAATATGAGACTATCTTCACTAAAAGGGTGTGCATAAACACTCTTATATCATTAATAGTTTCATATAAAGTTTTGATTTCTATTGATGATATGCAATATGGGGGTTATGTTAGAGAGATATCGACTTAGGGTCCCTTCAATAACTAATTAAGAGTCTAAATTTGAGACCGGATATAAATTTCAATAAGAAGAGATTGGTAGATCGGTTAAGGATAACATGAGTGAAGATGACAAATAAGAGGATGTGGAGGTTGTTTTTAAAGAGGTACCATATGTGTTTCAGCCTCATAAGGATGAAAATTAGGTAATTAGGATGAATTGGACAATCGAGAGACAATATTAACTCCTAATGTTTAATTGATCAATTTGAAGCTTGTAACAAGGAAGAGAAAGTGGTGGTTCTTAATAATACAACATTAGATGGTACGATCCATGTACAAGTTGATAACTAAGCGTTCAGACACCAAGGGGATGGAGGGGTAGATGCAAGCATGTGTAGTTGATGTGAGGGTAACATAAACCCTAACAAGATCAAACACGTTGTCCCAAGTCGCTTGAATTTGGTGGTGTGCGGTTCTACAGTCCAGATGCTTCGCCTGCATCAACACACTTAAAAGTTGATTCATGGGTTAACGATGATTTGTTTTCATAAAACTTCTAGTCATTCACATAGAGTTAACTCAAAATGCTTAATGAAGCATTATAAGGATAAACATGTTCTTTTCTCTTACTCCCTCCGTCCCAAAATTATTGTCCACAGACAAAAAACACACAGATTAAAGAAGCATTAATTACCAATAACTTTATACAATAAAATGACAGTTCTGTCCTTACTTTGCATTTAATGTTCCATTAAATGCTTAGTTGGTTAATTAATAATAATGGGGTATTTTGGTAAAAATGTTATTTATTTTTAGAAGTTGACTATTATTTTGGGACAAACCAAAAAGAAAAGTTGGACTGTAATTTTGAGACGGAGGGAGTATTAATGAAATATTGCATTAATAGAAGTTGGAAATGTGTTTAGGGTAAGAGATGAAAGAGTGTAAAAGAGACTTAAAATTTTAATTATTAGAATGAGTGCAATAGATATCAATAAATGGATATTATGACTTTGAATGCAAGTGTTGTTGGGAACTAAAAAAAATAAGAGGTGTTGGATAATTACTTGTTTGATTTTGTGTGTAGTTCTGCTCATGGTCGTCCTGGGAGGAATTATCACCATCTAGACCCTACTATTTTTTTGGTTAAAAGTAGGGTAACGTGTACGAACAATATAGTTGTTGTAAGGGGAGAATGGGTGAATTATAACTTCATATATTTTATGGTGAATGTGGATGCACAATAGGATGTTCATGTTAGGCCGGAGGGTGTGACCGCGGTTTGGGCCGCGGTTTGTGCCGCCTCAGCCGCGCACACCGCCCCCAGACTATGGTTTTGTGCGGTTTTGGGCGCACTACGGCTGTAGAGGACCGCGACACGTGATTGGCTGGTGAATGTTTGACCGTTGAACGGTCCTTTTGCGCGTTAATTTTTTTTTCCTTTTTGCCTTTCTTTCCTATATATACACAAACACTTCATTTTTTTTCACACAATACAAATCATTCTCTCTCAAATTTTTTTTTAAAAAAAAGTATCAATCTCTCTCGAAAATGTCATCTTCTTCATCTTCTGAAGAATTTCAGACTATGTTTGATACGGCTGTTGCGTGTGCTCAAATTACGAAATAAACATACGATGATTTATGCAATAACGCAACTGCAAGTTCTCAACGGAGAACACGAAGATATATTTTCAGTTGCTAGGATTATTCTGAGGACGAGTTATCGGAGAACGACTTTATGTAGTTTGCTTTAGTTATTTTATTTGTGTTTTTTTAAGTTTCTAGGATTATTTTAATGTCATGTGTGTGTTTTTCCTTTTTTTTTTTTTTTTTGTGTGTGTGTAATGCAATATAATGTTTTTTGAATTTTCAATGTAATATTTTTTTTTTAATTTTCAAGTAATGAAAAATTATGTTTTTTATTAAAAAGAAGTTTTAATTAAAATAGCTAAAAAAAGAAAAAGAAAATAAAAGTGTGGCACCACTCCCTTGGTGTGGCAAGAAACCACACTTGTGTGGTAAAAAATGACGTGACGCTTATGTTGCGGTGGAGGCAGTGCGGTTTCGGTGGCACCACTCTCTCCAGCCTTAAACAACTTCTTTTAACTACGTTTTAGCTTTCATAAGTCAAGCTAATAGGAATTATATGTTCTTTGGTGATTTTATTGCAGAGTGGGATACGAAAGAAGAGATGCGAATGAGGTTTTGTTAAAACACATTGGATAATTTTAATAAATTTATTAATAATGCAACTTTGGTGGAAATTTCAATGGTTGGTTATAAGTTAATAAAATTAATAAAACTGATGACACGTTGAGTAAACTTGACTGGTTTCTAGCGACGGAAGATGTTACATATGTTTTTCCTAATATAGCTTCTTTGTCGTTGGATATGAAGCTTTTCTTTTTATTATCACAGACCGGTTATTTTGAAGAATGAATACATTAATTACAGTGTGATTCATTTCAAGCTCTATGATTCCTGAGATGAATTTGGACAAATTTTATGGTACTATAAGGATTTCTTGGGCCACAACTGATGATAACTTTGTGAAAAATAAATTAAATAAAGTCAAAGAAAAATTAATAATTTGAATTACAAAATTAAAAGTTGAAAAAATGAGTATAATGTAACGTCCTAAAAATACTAAGTAAAACTTTTCTTTTAATTCTACAAAAACAACCATTCGTTCATTCCAAAACTCAATCAAAGTATAAGGAAAATGTATCAAAAGTCATCAGAGTACAAAACAAATCATAGAGTGCGGAACACTAGTGGATGCAATGCAATCACGTCGAGCACTTCCCCTTGGAAACGGAAGTACCTGAAATATAAACATGAAACTGTAAGCAGAAAGCTTAGTAAGTTTTCCAAAATGTAATACATCAAACACAAACGGGCCCAACCCAACATACATTGCTTCGGGCCGAGCGCCTATCATACATAATCAGGCCCAACCCATATAATGGCGCCTAGCCCATAACATACATAATCGGGCCCAACCCATAACATATAAACACACGCAAGAGACATAAAGACAGTTAGCATCCTACAAACATAATCTACTGGATCGGCATTGGTGCCTTCGACCCACGACTACAGTAAAAAGACTCACCTCTCAGACGATAATTAGCTGATACTGTTCTCTCAGCCAAAAATACAGATGCTAAACACCACCTATATAATCACACAAGGTAAACCTTTAGCCCTCCTTCCAAAACTAGGAATTTGACCAAAAAGTCAACTCAAGTCAAAAGTCAACGGTTAAAGTCAGCGGTCAAAGTTGACTTTAGTCGACCGCCACATCGTGGCTATCCATGATCACATTGTGGCCCATAAACGACAACACGGACGGGAATTTTCCCAGACGCCATGCCGTGGCGACCTAAGGCCACGTCGTGGGCACTGGATTCTTAACAGCTTTATGAGTTAAGTTGTTTTCTCCGATTCTAAGAGCTCCAAAGCTCAGATCCTTCCTATGGTCTATATGGATAAAGTTTCCAACTTTATCCCCTAAGACCCTCCAAGATATTAAGATCTCAA